CCGGCTCTCGTCCAATTCCAATTTTTCTTGCCCAGAATGGGGCTTTTAGTGGCAATCTCCCATCAACCCGAGAGTCTTCAGGGACTCGAGCAATATGACATAGCCGGGTGATTAGCGAAAGGAAGTAGTGGCCCTTGGTTAGCTGAGGTGATCGAATGAACATCTCATCATGAATGAGCCGTGCCACATCAAAATCAGTATGAGACATAAAACAGTGGATTGCGGACGCCCGTGGTAGATTAACATCTGTCGTGTTGCTGGATGGCAACAATCGACTGTTGATAATGGTGAGCCAACACTTGGCCTCCCAATTTAGATAGTGGGAGTTAAGAGTAATCCTGTGCTTGATCCATAGGTGTTCTCCGTCCGGCACACAGATAGTATCAAGTAGAGTGCCCCACAAGGCCCGTGTTCCGCTAAAAGTACGATAAAGATCAAAGTCACCCCGAAACACAGGCAGCCTGTATACCCTGCGGATGGCGTCAAAGGATGCATTTACCGGGGTATTGCACACCATCACAACCCCATTATCATGTTCTGGCAGGTTTGCATAGAACTCCCTTACTAACTGGACATTAGCCTCCTCCGGTACCTCGAAGAAGATGTCCAGCTGACACCGCTGCAGCTCATTCAACATATTGGGGCATTCCACCTCCAAAGCCATTTGATCAATGTGTACCTATGGTTGTAGCTTCTTGGCCGCTTTCTAGTTGTACCTATTCTCCGCTGTGCTGGAGACAAACCGAGTGCTATCGAAATGAGGTGCACTATCTTGGCTCCTAGATCGTTTGGAGCTTCCCGGTCCACTAATGGAGGGTCCGGTGTTTCGTCTCTTCCTGGAGGAGCTCATTGTACCTATCATACAACGAAATGCCTATTAGTGAGTGCGCAAAATATGTGACTATGTATGGTTACTCAGACTTCACAATACCCATGTCACAATAGCTCATTATATCCCCATTAGGGCAATTTCCCAAACACCTTGTGAGCAAGGCACTACCCAGCCACATCTAGCCCTCATGGGTACATCCAAATTCTTCCCCAATCAAGTATACTACAACACCACACACCCCACACTTACGTCATTCAATCACCTACCAATAACACCATTCAAACATGCAATTCACAGCCCCTTCACCAACTTAAAAACGAAATAGAAAAGCAAAAACAAGAAGAAAAAGAGTATACCAACAATTACATCTCAACACAACTTAAAATTATATAAACTACAACACAATACAACACAATGCCAAAGAAAAGAGAGAGAAGAGTTAAGACCTTACCTTAAAGGGGGAAGGAAGAGAGGAATTGGAGATGGGGGTGGTGTGAGTGAAGGAGAAGAAGAAGAAGAAGAGAGGAATTGGGGAGGTTAGGGTTTAGAGAGAGAGAGAAATTGGGAATATGGGGGAGGGGTCGTATTTTGGGTTTAATAGGGGGGTTTGGGTTTAAGAGGGCTNACCTGGACCGACTGCGGTCGACCGCGATCGCGGTGGGTTTTAAAATCTGAGGCAGAAAGTTTACGCCTCACCGCGGTTTACCGTGGTCCACCGCAGTCATGGTGGGAAGAAATATTTGAGGCAGAATGTTTGCCTTCCACCGCGGTCGTGGTGCTGGTTTTTTTTTGTAAGTTACATGAACAACTAATCAACACACTCGTGGGTTGCCTCCCACGCAGCGCCTGATTTAACGTCGCAACACGACGTCAACATTTGATCATCACTCCTCATCCGCGTACTGGGGCTCTCCCAAAGTGATTACCACTCTATCCCCTTTTTCATCAGACATGCCAGGGTAATGTTTCAACCTTTTCCCATTTACTGTGAACTTGTTTGTCCCGTCTTCTGATTCAATCTCTACAGCTTCACTCAAGAACAATTGTACCACTCTAAAGGGTCCTGACCATCGGGACTTTAACTTACCTGGGAACAATCTCAATCTCGAGTTGTATAACAATACTAGATCTCCGGGTTTGAAGTTTCGATCCAAGATGTGCTTATCATGCATTAATTTCATCCTTTCTTTGTATAATCTAGCACTCTCAAAGGCCTGGAACCTGAATTCCTCGAGCTCATGTAATCCCGTGACTCTGTTAGTGCCTGCTGTCTCCATGTCTAAGTTCAACTTCCTCAATGCCCAAAGTGCTTTATGCTCTAGCTCAACTGGGAGGTGGCATGCCTTACCAAACACCAACCTGTATAGTGACATCCCAATTGGGGTTTTGAAGGCTGTGCAGTATGCCCACAATGCATCATCTAATTTCTTTGCCCAGTCTGTCCTTGTTGCATTCACTATTTTTGTGAGGACACTTTTAATCTCCCTATTGGACACTTCAATTTGCCCGCTTGATTGTGGGTGGTACGGGGTGGTCACTTTATGACGAACTCCATATTTTTCCAACAACCGTGCAAATGCTCTATTGCAGAAATGGGTTCCACCATCACTGAGTGTAGCTCTTGGGGTACCAAAACGCGTGAACATGTTCTTATTTAGAAAGCCTAGTACTCCATTAGCATCATTGGTCGGAAGAGCCATTTCTTCGACCCACTTGGAGACATAGTCAACTGCTACCAATATGTACTTGTTACCATACAAGCTGACGAATGGCCCCATGAAGTCAATCCCCCACATGTCAAAAATCTCCACCTCTTGAATTGTGGTCATTGGCATCTCGTGTCTACGAGATATGTTGCCAGTTCTTTGGCATTTTTCGTAGCTTTTAACCCAAGCATGGGCATCCTTGAACAGAGTAGGCCAGTACAAGCCTAACTCCAACACCTTAGCTGCTATCCGAATCCCTCCAAAGTGTCCACCATATGGTGAAGCATGGCAAGCATGCAAAACAGAATGTTGATCTTTCTCGGGGATACACCTTCGGATCATGTTATCTACACATATTTTAAACAATAGAGGCTCATCCCAATAATGTCGACAATCATGAAAGAACTTTTTCTTTTGAATTGAGGAGAGTTCATAAGGTACAATACCACTTGCTAAATAATTAGCAATATCAACATACAAAGGTGCCTCCTCCATTGTCATTGCCAGTAATTGTTCATCCGGGAATGTCTATGTTATATCCTCAACCTCTACCTTCTTTTCAGCTCCTTCCAACCTTCCGAGGTGGTGAGCTACTTGGTTCTCTGTCCCTTTCCGGTCACGTATTTCCAGATCAAATTCTTGTAACAGAAGAACCCAGCGAATCAAGTGTGGCTTTGACTCCTTCCTTTCTATCGGGTATCTAATTGCTGCATGGTCAGTGTAAACAATAACTTTCGAGCCAATCAAATATGACCTGAATTTATCGAATGCAAAAACAACAACCAACATCTCCTTTTCCATCACAGTGTAATTGAGTTGTGCACCGCTCAGCATTCTGTTTGCATAATAAATCGGGTGCATCAGTTTACCCTGTCGCTGCCCCAAGACTGCTCCTATGGCGTAGTCACTAGCGTCGCACATGAGCTCAAATGGTTGCTCCCAGTTGGGTGCAACAATGATGGGTGCAGTCACCAATCTTTTCTTCAGTTCCTCAAATGCCAACTTGCATTCATTAGAAAACACAAAGGGGTGATCCTTTTCAAGGAATTTGCATAATGGGTTAGCAATTTTTGAGAAATCTTTGATGAATCGCCTGTAGAACCCAGCGTGCCCAAGGAAACTTCTCACCGCCTTGACCGAAGTGGGCGGTGGTAGTTTTTCAATCACGTCAACCTTGGCATGGTCGACCTCAATTCCCTTACTGGACACTCGATGTCCCAGGACTATCCCTTCCTGTACCATAAAATGGCACTTTTCCCAGTTCAACACTAAATTTGTCTCCACACATCTTTTAAGCACTCTTCTTAAGTTGTGAAGACAATCCTCGAATGAATCTCCCACCACGGAGAAATCATCCATAAAGACCTCCATAATATCCTCCACCATGTCTATGAAAATGGCTAACATGCACCGTTAAAATGTCGCCGGTGCATTGGAAAGCCCAAAAGGCATTCTCCGAAAGGCGAAAATGGCATATGGACAAGTGAAGGATGTTTTCTCTCTATCTTCAAGGACTATTGATATCTGATTGTACCCCGAATAACCATCCAAGAAACAGAAGTGCGAGCACCCGACCAGCCTGTCCAACATTTGGTCAATGAAAGGCAAGGGGAAATGGTCTTTCTGGGTGGCTATGTTCAATTTCGGTAATCCATGCAAATTTGCCATCCTGTGACTGTACGAGTTGAGATCAACTCATTGTTCTCGTATTGCACAACAGTTATTCCCCCCTTTTCGGCACACATTGGACATGACTGACCCAATTGCTATCAGAGATGGGGAAGATGATTTCCGCATCTAACCATTTGATCACTTCCTTCTTTACCACCTCCTTCATGTTCAGGTTCAGCCTTTATTGATGTTCTCTAGAAGGTTTGTGCCCTTCTTCCAAGAGAATCTTGTGCATACAGAAGGCTGGGCTGATACCCTTTATGTCTGCCATGGTCCAGCCAATGGCAGTCTTGCTTTCCTGTAGTACTTGTAAGAGCTGTTCTACCTGCACATCCAACAAACAGGATGATATAATAATAGGCAACGTAGAATCGGGGCCTAAGAAAATGTACCTGAGGTGAGCTGGGAGTGGATTTAGCTCCTTGGGTGGTTCCTCTACCGATGGTTTTGCTGGAGGTGTAGCCCTTTTTTCTAACTCAAGGGACTCGAACTGAGGTTCCCTTTTCCAGAATCCTTGGCCTTAAAGTGCCATGACCCAATCAACCAACCCTTCACCATCCATTTCTTCTAAATTTATCAGACATGCCTCCAATGGATCTTTAGCAGTCAGGGCCACATCATCTTCTTGCAGGATCACATCCACTGCCTCCACTAGAGAGCAATTCGCATATTTACTGGGTCTCCTCATAGATTGCTGAACATTGAATATGACTTCTTCATCATTCAGTCTCATTTTTAATTCCTAGTCTCACAATCAATCATGGCTCTCCCAGTGGCCAAACATGGCCTACCTAAATGATAGGTATCTCCTCATCTACTTGACAATCCAGAATAACAAAGTCTGCATGGAACACGAATTTCCCCACTTGCACTAATACATCATCAAGAATCCCTGTAGGTTTTTTTACCGTGCGGTCAGCCAGCTGCAGCAGCATCAAAGTCGGTCTAGCTCTGCCAATGCCCAGTTTGGTGTATACAGCCAGAGGCATCAAATTTATGCTAGCTTCCAAATCACATAATGCCTTTGCAAAGGCGTAACTCCCAATCGTGCACAGAATAGTGAAGCTACTGGGTCGAACATCTTTTGAGCCATCGGTCTAGTCACTACCGCGCTGCAGGTCTGCGTCAGAGTTACTGTGGATAGATCCTGAAAATCAAACTTCCGTGACATTAGGTCTTTCATTATCTTTGCATAACCTGGCATCTCCCTCAAGGCATCCATCAAAGGAATATTCAACTGAATTTGATGCAGTATCTCCATGAATTTCTTGTATTGATCTTCCTTATTTTGTTTTACCAGTCTCTGAGGGAATGGTGCAGGTATCACCCTTTGTGCACTGCTTGCTGGGTTCTCTCTGTTGGGTTTCTATGGCACAAGAGGCACCACCTGTTCTGTAGCTTGTTCATTTACCTTAGCCTTACCCTTTTCATCTTGACCCTGTTCAACTACCACTTCAGTCAGATTTGTTGGTTCATCTACCTCTAGTTGAATTAGCGTGGCTGGCGTAGTCTCCTTGCTGGCTTGTGCAACCTCCTGCTCTTTGTCTAAATCTCTCCCATTTCGAAGACTTACAGCCATTAGCTGATTCGGGTTTTGCTCCTTAGGGTTAATATTTGTATCCGCTGGCAATGTTCCCTGAGGGTGATTGTTTAAAGTCATAGACAACTGCCCCAACTGAGTTTCGATGTTCTTTATAGCTGAATCATGTACTGCCAACTTTTCTTGCATCTTACTGTTTGTTCCAATGAGTTGCTGGAGCATCCCCCTGATCTCTACCATGTTGTTATCTTGCTGCTGAGGAGGTGGCTGATATGTCAACTGTTGCTGGTTCTGCTGTGGGTAGCCTTGTTGTCTCGGGTGGTATGGCACCATTTGGCCTTGAGCTTGTATGCCCCCAGGCTGAGGCATGTTGGGTCTGTATTGCTGATTTGGTGCCGCTCTCCACTGTTGTCCTCCTTGTCTCTAACCCTCAAAGTTGTTAACATAATTCATATCTTCCTTTGCCCCTTGATTTTCACCTTCTCCGCTCTATGAATACACATAGGACTGATTAACACAGGGTGTACACAGTCCTCCATTTGTCGTGTCAACAATATGCACCTATTTGGTACCCATCTCATCTATCTTCTTTGTCAAAATACTCATCGGGGTTAGAAGTGTGTCCATGTTCTCCGCCTGTGAATTATTTGGGTCAAGGGGCACTGAATGCACCATGGGTGCCAGTGTTGTACCTCTAGTCATCCATCCCGAATTCTGGGACATCTTGTCAAGAAGGACCTTGCACTCGGTGAATGTCTTACTAAAAAATGCACCTCCAACTGAAATATCCACATTAGCCTTTAGATTATCAGCTAATCCCATGTAGAATCTCTGGCCAAGCATCTGGTCTGGAATGCCATGGTGAGGACACTTCACCAACATCCCTTTAAATCTTTCCCAAGTTTCTTGCAAGGTCTCAGTCGGTTGTTGCTTGTACTGCAATATTTCATCAATCTACCTTGTAGTCTTGTTAGGTGGGTAGAACTTATTCAAAAACTGCTTTACTACTTCCTCCCAGGTGACAATGGAATTGATTGGGAGCGAATTCAGCTAAGTCTGAGCTTCCCAGTCACAGAGAAGGGGAACAGTAATAGCTTGATAGCTTCTGGGGTCACATTTGGCTGCCTTTGAGTCATACAAATTGACAGAAATGTTTTCAAATGTTGCTGAGGGTCTTCAATGTGTGACCCAGAGAACAATCCCTTATTTTGCAGCAGATGCAACATGTTGTTGGTGATCTGGAATGTCTTCGCTTGTATTGTGGGTACAACTATGGCAGTTGCTAGGTTGTCAGTTGTGGGTTGAGCCTAATCATAAAGTGTAGCTTCTAGCACAAGAGGTTCCACCACTCTAACATTTGGGTCAGTTTGCTCATCCCTGATGTTTCCATTGACGTTCTCTACGTCACCCATGTCAAAGTCAAGATAATGTGGTTGTTGTGATTGTTGGATCCTCCTGTTGGCACAGTTTAATGCCTTGAATGTTTTCTCGGGGTCTGAAGGTCCTTCAAGAAGTTCTCCAGTCCTCGAAGAATTTCTAGGCATACACCTGAATTCCACAAGAGTTCAAGCGTTAGAATTTCAATGAATTTTTTTAAACACCTTTGAAATTTGATTTGAACTAATAATTTTTAACACTACTTCTAAGTTGTAATAAGTAACACCGTTAGTTCTTCGGCAACGACGCCAAAATTTGATAACGCCCAACTATGCCTTTTAAAAGACAAAGCGGTCGCTGCAAATATAATCCGGTTTTAAGTCCGGAATTGAATCCTTAGGGAACTAACTTATCTATTACACTTTTCAGCAATGTTATTATCAACTCAATCAATTTCTAGATGCAAGATTTTTGATCAATAAAGACTGGGTTCTTTTGTTTAACTACTTCACTACTATTAAAAATAACAATAAGCTAAAACAAAGATAATTCAATGGTAAAAAGGTCTAGGGTAGTGATTTCCCTAATTGCTAGTTTAGGTCTTGAATCTTCCGCTATAATCTCGCCGTAATACTCTATGAGTATTAAGAGTTATGGGCTATCGTAATTATCTCTCGATCAACTACAATAATTTACTAGAGCATTCTCTCGAACTACTCTAGCTGACTATGGTTATGCAACTCTAAATTATCCCACCAAAGTTTTGTTATCTCTAAACCCACTTTTAAGTTCAAGTAATGAATCTCTTCAATTACCCAAAAGTGGTGTTGTTCAACAGCTATCTAACCTAATATTCTTTCTCAAGCAATATAAGGTAATTAGACACGATTAATCAAGGGCCCATTCAATTAATCACCATACAAAACATAGTTAACAATCATATCGTAAATCCAGCTCGATTATAACAACTTGAGTCAAGACTTCAACCAACAATTGGTTCCATCAACCCTAGATAAGTGTTTAGCTACTCATAACAAAATAAGAGAGAACTACTAAATTATTCATAATATAAAATTGCAAGAATTAAAAGGAGATAGAAAAACTCTAATGTTTGGTTGATCTTCTCACACTTGTTCTTCCTCCAAAAGTAGTCTAAAATTAGCTTCCTTCTTCAGTTGGGTGAGTTTCTAAAGCTTATAAGGGTTTTACAAAAGTTTCCCCGAAATTACACTTTGGTCCACAACTTCCAGCGGAGTGAACAGTTCACCGCGGTCGCGGCCAACTGCAGTCGACCGCAGTGAACGCTGAGCTTTCTATATCCCTTCATTAATCTGCCGCGGTTCACCGCGTTCGCGTTAGCCTTCTTGCCTAGACCATTTATGCTTCTTTGTGTTCGGGTACTTCTCGAGTGGGCGTTTTTCTACACATTATTGCCTCCAAAACACTCCATGTTGCTTCCTCTCATATAATATTCCCTGCTAAAAAAAAAGAACACTATTTAGAGCAGTTTGTTGGCAATTTATCTATAAAACAACAACAAAGTATGGTCATATTAAGGTGTAAATATCAACTATATAGCCCACTATCAGGATCCTAGCCTCTAATAATGTGTTCTAGTAGGCTTCTGGGTGTACTAGCATTCTCCATTGCTGGGTATACCCACATCTTGCCTAGTCTTTTCAATTTTCCTATTCCCCCTATACCCCTATGTGTACTTATTTGTAGCTGTTTCCCTTTCCCTTTTACCCTTTCAGAATTCTGTTTCTGCACTTGCACACTCTCTTAGTCCTTAAGTTCTACCCCCTCTTGTGAGCCTTGCCTTGGGATATTGAGCTCCCTCTGAACTTGGACACTTGAGGGCTGACCCTTCCACACTGCACTTGTCTTAATCTGATAATGTATTTGGGTGTGAGCATTGCCCGAAGTCCCCTTTGAGGCTCTTAGGAAACTTTGACACATCCAAATGGGAGAAAGGCTTTGGATCATGATCTCTTGGAGTTGGTTTACCTCATATTTCAGAAATGAAGCCTGAATCAGGCTCTCCTTGGTTGTACTTTTTAATTTTTGATGTATTCTTTTACTTTTTTTTTCTGAGTTGTAATAATTTGTAATAAATTCTTGGGGATGGCTAGTGAAAAAGGGAGGTGTAACTATGTATGCAAAGGGTAGATATCCTGTCTATAGGTATTTCTGAAATTCTGCATTCTCACATAGATATCTTGCCTATAGGTATTTCTGAAATTCTGCATTCTCACATAGATATCCTGCCTATAGGTATTCTGATTTTTTCACATAGATGCCATGTCTATAAGTATTTCTGCATTCTGCATGCTATCATATAGAAATCATGTCCATAAGTACCTGGAAATCTGAATTCTGCATATGCATATAGAGAAATATGCATATAGGTCCTTCTAAATCCCGTATATCCGTTCTTCATCTAGCAATCATGTTCATAGGTCTTAAACAAAAAAAAAATTCAGCATCTAGATATCATGTCTATAAGGCTTCTGCATTCTTTACCATGTCTATAAAAGGTTTTAAAATCGACAACGCATAGAAAACATGTCTATAGGAACTATTAATCGAATCTGAATCGCTTCATTCACTTATAAGGCTAAAACCAGTAATAACGACATGTCATCATCTGCAGAACTTATAACCTTTTTGCTAAAAACTTGCCTTTCTTTAATAATCTGACAACCTTTCTTAACTAGTACGCATGTAGTTTATTTCAATGCTTTCTGAATTCATTAGATACCATGTCTATAGGATTCTTCTCCAACACTTAGGCAAGGTTTAGGGTGAAAATTATAAATAGAATCTGTTTTATTAATTACAACCAGCAGGCAGGCCTGATTCAGGTTTCTTATTTGAATTATGTAATAAATCAGTCTACCTCAACTTTTAAGCTCTTAATCATACCCTAAACAGTATGTGTAAGTCATGCTAATTATGTGCTTCTTTGATTGAAGGAGGTATATCTGAGCCTTTTTACTTGTTATGTGCTCCTACCCAACTTGCTATATATGTTTTTGTATATCGCCCTAGAATTTTACCTTTGAAACTACAAACAAACCTAAAATCCCTCCCTTTTAAGATTAGTAGTCTGAAATACCTCCGGGACTAATAGGATTGGGACGGGTAATAGCATGCAATAAGTAAATGAGACCATTCCATGCTCTAATACCTTAACGGGGTGGGAAAAGGTAGCTATGGATATGATGACCACGCGATAACATCACGTGTAGCCCCTCACTAAAGAGTGATTATCAGATGTTGTGTGGGGTGATCCATATTATTAACAAACCTAGGACCCCCCCTTTCCTTTGTTTCTTTTAAAT